GTGCCTGTGAGGCACTGGGGCACTCTAAATATACAGAGGATTTTAGCGAGCCTCAAATTCTCTCGAGAAGTTGTGGTAGACCCTTGGACCTGTCCCCCCCCCGAGGTGCTCTCCTTGAAAATTGGGGTGGGGGGAGCGGAACTGAATAAATTCGTACTGTCGCCTGTATGGTGCTCTAGGCTGTTGCCAACGACAGGCGCAATCTCGCACTCCTTCCCACGATAAAGTTCATGGGCTTGTTGTGATGTTACTGTCAGACAGTAATAATATTTATCTTTCGTGCTTCGTCTGTTCGACACTACACGGACTGGCCCCAACTGAGTGACCCCGATATCGGGCAGGGGGTGGGCCGCCAGTCATAGATCCCAAGAGATGAAATGTACGCTAATCATGCTACCACACCGGGGCCCCAATCCTATGTGGCAGGTTTTAAAAGTTTCTCTATAACCACTGTTACCACCAGAGTGCGCGGGGCCACCACGGCCGGTTTCCAGGTTTCATAGAGACGGGGAACTTGCCCGTCTGGAGATCTGACTGGTCATTAGAAATACTACTTGAAAGTACTATGCTGGATGCAGAAGCCCTTGCACCGGTCTAACACTGGGATTACTTCACTTTGGCCTGTGGACTAGTCGAGTTAAATCGAAGTCATGTAGTTATGTGAATACACCCACAGGTTGCGGGTAACCGCCTGGCTGAGTGATTTTATATCCCGTAGCCGAGACTGCCTAGTTAAAGATCTTAGACAGTAGCTTCGCTGAGTTCTCTACGACCATTCCCGGGGAAGGGGACTGTCAGGGAAGTGAGATAAGTCACAACAACATCCTGCACCCTAATTTATCATTTTTATAATGGAAAAACTGTATGATATTTTTTCAAGAACAGACAATGAGGCTTAATCAGTCCAGATTTATTGCCACTCAACAACTTAATGATATTTTTTGAAGAATAGACAATGAGACTTATTCTCTCCAGATTTATTGCCGCTCAACAACTTAATGGGCAACTTAATGATATTTTTTGAAGAACAGACAATGAGGCTTAATCACTCCAGATTTATTGCCGCTCAACAACTTGATGGACAACTTAATGATATTTTTTGAAGAACAGACAATGAGGCTTAATCACTCCAGATTTATTGCCGCTCAACAACTTAATGACTTAATGGACAACTTAATGATTTTTTTTTGCAGAATACACAATGAGGCTTATTCTCTCCAGATTTATTGCCGCTCAACAACTTAATGATATATTTTGCAGAACAGACAATGAGGCTTATTCACTCGAGATTTATTGCCGCTCAGAATCAAAAGAAAAGAGAATGCAATCTTGTCCATGGAAAAAAAAATCATGGCCTATTGCTCCTCAGTAGCAATGATAATGTTTCCGACCCTATTGCTAACAATTTGATTTACTTGTTTAGCTTATTATACTACACTATGCAGGTCTGAGGTATGCAAACCAGCTTGACTTAAACAGCTGGATAAAATCTACGGATATCTCTGTTGCTGTACAACAACATCTTTTGATGTTACCGCTGAATGATGTTTTCGTGCACAATGTGTTTTCTATAGTCAGAACCTGCTTATTTTCTAATTAATTGATGGATCAATGCAATTCCATTTTGACCGACTTTGAATTTATTCGCTATGATCTATGTTGATCATCTCTCTTTCACTTTATTCACAATTATGCTGCAAGTTAAGCTACTTAGACGTCTTCTTCCTATTCTTATTCCTCATTCGTCGTAACGAAATAAAACAAAATTCTGCATCTTTACTCATTTCAAATAAACTGTATTCCGTGTACTTTCAATTCAGTTTTACCATTGTTCAGAAATTTCCTGGTATCAATGACATATAAATCACTTAATCTGCTTCGTGTATAAATGAAAGACTTCAGCAGGTTTATGCTACCTTAACCAGCTGGATATGTTTGGATATCCAGCTGTTTAAGGTAGCATATGCTGGACCTCAATAAACCACCGACTTCCACGTCTTAAATTTATATTTCTCAGCCATAAAACTTAACGGATGTCACTGTTAAGCGTTTCCAATCTGTTTCTGAAGTTCCTTTGCGCAAAAATTGCGAATTTCATTCGAATCTGTATTTTCAGAGAAATACTCCATCAGATTAATTACAACGAAAGGTCACGCTTTACTCATAAACATTGTTGCTTGCATACGGATTCTTAATGGATTGAAGTCATACAGAACTGATGAGAGCTTGATAAAATTTAATTTACCAAAAGAAGCACGTCTATATCTCGCCAATTTAGCGAGATAGCTATATACTTCAATGTTAAATAGAAGTGTCCCTGTAAATGTTAAATGTTAATGCCTCTCCATGTTAAATAAACGTCAATGTTAAGTAGACTTGTCCCTTGCCTTATTTTTCCGGCAGATTTTCGTTTATTTCAATGTCCTATTATTCAAAATAAATTTCATGTTATATTACTAAAAAAATTCAATTATGTTTCAATGTTAGATTATTAAAAAATCAGTTTTATGTTATATTAATCAAAAAATACTACAGTCTCACGTATGATTTCACTAAAATTATTTACACATGTTGTAAGGATCTTAAGTTTTACTAACTTTTATTTTATTTTAAAACTGTACTATCACTTCTTATTTTCTACTTCCCGCCAGAATTAAATGTTTTAACTTGTTTATGCAAATTGTCTTGCTAACGCCCAAGTATTTAAGTTGTGGCTTTTTGCTAAGAGAGAGAAGGAGTTTTAGGAAGCAAGCCGCTTGCCACTGCAGTTTTACGAATTTTTACTCGGTTGCTGGTTGCCTTTAAGGCCAGAGGTTTAGCCCTCTTGATATTTGTATATCAATATATATACAATACTGTATATCAAACTACAATACTACATATGTACCCTTTTAAATAAAGGCCAGTCTTAGTCCTAGGCATTTGTATACTAATTCAAAGTTAGCTTTTAGTTAGAGTTTTAGTTAGTAGTTTTATATTCTTACGTTCAGACCACAAGTGGTTGGTCTTTGTATCCCTAAGTTCGGGAGTACTTGTAAAAGTATAGAAAATAAAGGGTTTCGTATACCCTTCCTGCTTGTGTCGTCTGTTATACACAAATCTTGAACATAGCTTGAATAAGCTCAGGACTCACCATGTTTCCAAAGCAAATCAAGAGAAACACAAGTCCTGATAATGTAGAAAATTCGTTACAATAGATATTTGAAAGCAATAGAAGCTTATATAAATGTAAATGATGTTAGAAATTTAAAAATATTACCCATCGTCTGTTTGTGGACTGAAAAAGAATCATGCCTGTTTTGAAGATTATCTGTTTGGTAAGTTACTATATTTGAACACTAGCGGAAGTACCTGATGCCAGTTAAGTTAGATTGAAAGTAATGTATCTAACAAACACACAGAACGATACCGCTGTAATCCTTCTCTAATAATAATGAGAAACAAACAAAACAAAACAAAACAAACAAACAAACAAACAACCAAAAAAACTGAAAGGTTTTAGATTTTAAATTACGTCCAAAGAGGAGTATTTTTAACGTTTTGTGTGTTACCTTTATCTATTTATTATCATGCTTTTTGCACTTGAACCATAAAATTCAGTTCAACAGCAATGTCGCAAAATAATTTTAAAATGAGCCTATCTTTAGAATTTCCCATACACAGTTCGGCTCGCTGGAGATAAAAAGGTTTTTTTTCAATTCCGTAGAGTGTTGCCATGGCTCGCTTTTAAATCGTTGAGTTTGTTAATCGAAAATTCGTTAAAGTTTTACAAAATATGAAACCGATAATAAAACAATTTCCACATTTCAAATTTGGTCTTCCAGATGCCCATATTTGCAGTAGGATTACGCCATTCAAAAATTGGATGGCTCTAGGTACCGTTGCTTTATCACAATGCAAGAAATATACATACATTTAGGCAGATTCTTCCTTATTTAATTTCTTCAAATATAATACAGGACGATAGTTTTTGGTGGCAACAGTTCGAAAAGTGAAACGGACATTCAGAGTGATTCAATGCAAAATCGCAAAACGACGCCAATAGTCCTTCAGGAACAAAGCTCCTTTGGACTAAAAAAAATACTATTCATAGTCATGCATTTTAAAATCTGATGCGATATGGAACCCACATAAATTTCGATAGGCAAATAAACTATTTCTCTCTCATTATATCAGTAACAATGGCACCCAGGTTTTAACGGTTTCCGTTTTTCTAATCAAATGATCGTAAAAGCTCAGGTTCCATCCAATATTTCACTATATTCAATTTTAGTCGATTAAATGGAGCAAAAAATTTATCATAATTGATCAGAAATCGCGACAAACAAACACACAAACAGGCATTCTTCTTTATATATGTATAGATTTCGTAAAACTTACAAATTTTTAATTAACAAACTCTACGATTTGAAAGCGAGCAGTGGCAACACTTTTCGAAATAAAGCATTTTCATTTCCGATGTGCGAGAATGTTGCCACTGGGGAAAAATGAATGCGAAAATTAGTGTTTTCAAAGTTTTTAATTAATATCTCGGTTGACTAAAGTCGTACGAAGATGAGAACAGCCGAAATGGCTTCCCACGAATTTTTGGAATCGGGAAAAATGTATTTAATGTTTGGCAAAGCTATTTTTATTTCATCGTAAAACTTCGAAATTTTTTATTAACAAACTCTACAATTTGAATGCAAGCACTTCTCGAAATAAAGCAGATTTTTATCTCCAGCGTGCGAGAATGCTGCCACTCGGAAAAATGAAGGTGGAAAGCGTTTTCAGAGTTTTTAATGAATATCTCTTATTTTAGTTTTTTTTTTTTTTTTTTTTAATGAAAAAGGACCCCTCCGAGGACCGAAAAAAGATTTGTAGAAAGTTTGGTGGTGATAGCTGTAGTAGTGACTGAGTAAATCGCGAACAAACAAGCACAAACAGACATTCTTCTTTATATATATGTTAATGAAAATTATCTTTATTTCTCTCCTCGGAAGAACAGAAAAATTACTTACTCGCAGACATCTACTCGGATGATTTGTTTGAATCTGGCATCTTTATTTTGGACATTTACGATGTATTTCCATTCCGAGTTGTCGTTGAGGGCGGCTTGAGGGGGCACGAAACGAGTTCTCACCGGACAGGCTGGTCGTTCGTCATCTTCTCGCTGTCGCCGAATGATAGGCCTAGGGAAAGCGAAAAACATATTTGAAAGCTTTAAAAAAAATATAGGAAGAGAATTTTTTAAATAAAGTAGTCTAATGCTTTTCAATATTTATGTGCAAGTACTGAATTATTTTCACAAATAATTTTCACAATCAATGGAATTCCAGCGAAAAATGGCATACGTTAAAAATATGTAGATAATAGCGGCTTTATTTCCTGTCATTTGTTCTTCCTGACTTGATATGCACTTATAGCATAACCTGAACAAATGCTGTTTAAAATATTGTAATTTTCGGAAACCCCAGAGGGGTAAAAATCAACTTTCAGGAAACTGCGGAAAGTTTGTACTTTTCTCAACCCCCCACAGACTGTTAATGTTAATAAATTAATCATAAGCATAATACGTATACAGTAACTGGATATTTCTACAGATTCAATTATTTACATATATACAAATTCGTAACACTGCCCTTCCCAAGGACTGCACGTCACGGCAGCGCAACCGCTGGACAGAAGGCTATACTAACTAAAGCAAATCAGTGCAATATTCAAACAATGATTTCACAAAACAACATACAACATATCAAATATTAAAAGAATACAGAAAATAAATCAGAAACGGAGTTTGAAATGGAGTCTGTAAGCATATGGGACGTATTATGGCTTCAGAAAATGAAAGGTCAAACTTCAAAACTGAAAATTGACGGCGTTAAACTCAAATCTTTAAACTTACTTCGTTAAACTTATTCTCAATTCTTTTGAAAAGAATTTCACATTGCATTTCGTGAAATTTCTACTGATCGGGCAGTGGATTGTAGTAGAACTTTCCGTTGGGTTAAACAAACGATCGAAAATTTTTAGAAATACCGGGCGACAAAAAGGCCAAGCGTTAGCTCTAACTTAGTGCGATATTTTGTGTCGGCTAGAAGAGGTTCAAGTAACACACCAGAAAATATCACAAGCTAAAGCGATTTCACCAGTATCAGTATGCTGTATTTTGACACAAATTTGCAGAAGAGTATGGTCCATTTCATCTGTTATAGCTTGATGCAACATTACTGTTGAAACGAAGAATTTGTGATAATATAGGATTTTATATTAATTAACTAGTTATTATGATCTGAACCTTTACTTTACGTCTTCTTTCCACAGTCCTCACCAGAATACAAATTAATGGTTGAGTATTTCAGCCGAGGGTTTGGTTGTTACAAACTCTCGCTAGCTATGCCGAATTTTTACTCCGGCTTTATCCATATCTCTAACCGACGTTTAAATTACACGTTATTACTTTTTTGATCTATCTAAAGTAGTTTGTTTTGTGTGTATGGTCGGACTACGTTACCTAAATTGAATTTAACTTCATCTTATGTTATTTTAAATAACTTAAAGTAGTCAAGATTCATTTGTAGCACGAATAGAGCCTTATTAACTTAAAGTGTTCAATAAAAATGTTAGGTTATTTTAATCTTTCCAAGGCATTGTCATGTGAATTTATGCTGGAGCAATAAGTCGCTTATCATTCTATTAGGGTATGAAGAACGCTTAGTTAAACAACTATTTACTAGTTGTATAGTTGTATTTCCCCTCCTATTAAGGAGAAAGATTTATATCTCCAATAATGGCAACTAACAAAACGCAGATTAAAAATTTAGACCACAATTGAAATTGTCGTCAATTCAATGACCCAAAAATTTCAAGATGCTCAATCACTGGTAAAATAAGTAATTATCTTTACCTACCAAGGAATCATTACGAAAGATAGAGTTCCATGTGGAAAAAGTGTCAATGCAGCATATTACTGTTTTGAATGATTGCAAAAATTGTGACGGAATTGCATAAAAATCTGAAAGGTTTCAGATTTTAAATTACGTTTAAAGGGGCGTTTTTTTAACGTTTTGTGTGTTACCTTTATTTATTAAATATCATGTTCTTCGCACTTAAATCATAAAATTCAGTTCAACAGTAATATCACAAAGTAATTTCAAATTGAGCAAATCTTTAGAATTTCCAATATGCAGTCTCACGTACTGGAGATGAAAATCTCTAATTCTCTAATTTTTTACTGTACAACGTTGCCATTGCTCGCTTTGAAATCTTGCAGTTTGTGAATCAAAAATTCGTTAAAGTTTTACAAAATATGAAATCGATAATAAAACAAAATTCCAAATTTGGGTTTTCAGATACCCATATTCGCAGTAGGATTACGCTATTCAAAATTTGATGGCTCTCGGTACCGTTGTTTTATCAGAATGCAAGAAACATTCATACATTTATGCAGATTCTTCATTATTTAATTTCTTCAAATATAATATAGGGCGATAATATTTGATGTCAACAGTTTGAAAAGCGAAACGGACATTCCTCAGGGACTGGAGGAAACGGTGTACGCCAAAGTCCTCATCTCCTTTCTTCTTGCTTAAAAGCAAGATTGCTAAAGAGTGATTCAACGCAAAATCACAAAATGAAAACAATCGTAATTCAGAAACAAAGCCCCTTTGGACTAACAATGAAAAAAGAAAAATCTGAGAGGTTTCAGATTTTAAATTACGTGCAAAGGGGTGTTTTTTTAACATTTTGTTTGTTACCTTTTGTTTTGTTTGTTATTGAATATCATGTTCTTCGCATTTAAACCATAAAATTCAGTACAAGAGCAATATTGCAAAATAATTTTAAATTGAGCATATCTTTAGAATTTACGATACACAGCTGCATTGGAGATAAAAATGTTTTTTTTTTTTTTTTTTTTTTTTTTTTTTTTTTTTTTTTTTCGTACAATGTTGCCATTGCTCGCTTTGAAATCCTTGAGTTTGTTCATCAAAAATTCGTTAAAGTATTACAAAATAGGAAATCGATCATAAAACAAATTCCAAATTTCAAATTTGGGCTTCCACATGCCCATATTCGCAGTAGGATTACGTCATTAAAAGCTCTAGGCTCTAGGTACCGATGTTTTATCTCAATGCGTGAAACATACATGCATTTATGCAGATTCTTCATTATTTAGTTTCCTTAAATATAATACAAGGCGATAATATTTGGTGGCAACAGTTTGAAAAGCGAAACGAACATTCAGAATGGTTCAACTGAAAATCGCAAAATGAAAACAATCGTCCTTCAGGGACAAAGCCCCTTTGGATTACTCAGGGATAGGGAATTAATTTTAAAAAAAAAATCCCGTAATTGAGAAAATTGTGGGAAATCTCCTAACCAAATGCGATCAAGCAGGTTTACCTCAGCAACCATAAAATCCTCAGATTTCAAATTCTTTTCCAACCTGGAAGAGCACCAGCGTGGAAATGATTTTCCTCTTTAAAAAGAGTAGTTACTCAAGCCATTTAAGGACTGAATACGTGTAGTACCCTACAAGGAAGTGCATATCTTCCAAGACACTGGATCGCGATTGTTGTGAAGCGAAAGAGATTTCACAAAAGAAAGTAAGCAGAAACTGTCCGAAATAAAATTGACCAAAGAGATATATGTTAGACGGACATTTTTTAAAGTACTTTCGTATTTGTATATTTACATTGTGCTGTTCTGATTCCATTATCTTCTGTAAAAGTAACATGGCCGTGATAGAAATTAGCAGAAACTGAATTATTTGCAGCTTTGTTTGTTATTCTTGAGGTAAGCGTGCAGCTGACATTTGAAATCAATTAAATGATTACACATATAATAAAAATTCAGCAATTAAATTTGTCATTAATATGGAAACATGACAATGTATAATTAATATTTAAACATCCAGTTAGTTAGTTCCATTTTGAAAATTAAACTCTTGCTTGTTGCAAGCAAAGGCCAAACAGCCACAAGCAGCTCGAAAGCCGCAGTTTCGCCATGCTTGTTATATACAAAAATTTAAAAACATATATATTTTCAAAGTTTAAATTTGGCTAAACATCAGATATACACTGCGCAAACAGTTCTATCTTCTGTCAATCTTCCGTTCTACTGGGCCGATTGACGAAATTGAAATACCGTTTTCCATGTCTGGAAAGCGAGACTTAGGATATATATAGATTTATATATAGCTTTGTTCTAACATAGATATTTTGATACAAAGTCGGACGTTTTCTGAAATAACATACCAATTTATTTCCATATGTCGATTCTACAACTCAAATTAAGCCTAGATATTAAATTTTGTAAAATTTAGTGCAAAATTTATCTTGGCGGAATTTTTTCAGCTTACGGCAAGAATAATTCACTTGGTGAACTTCTTAATATATGGCAAACTATTTTCCTTACCCTTCCATTATTCCAGAAATGAAAAAATCTGATGTGTACGACACATGACTTCCTCGTACGGAATATTAAGTTATGCGAATTTTTTTCTTGAATTTCATTTAAATTGATTGGATTGAACAAAATCTACGATTCGGACAGCGAAGAAACGCAGAAACCCTTTCCCAGATTAGAATAAATACACTCTTTGAAAATTCCTATATTTGTTTACTATAACGACACTCTGAATGCACAAAATTTATATCATTTGAAGAATTATCTTATCGTTGCCACATGTCCTATTCAAATACTATAATAAAGCTAGAACGACGTATGAAAGAAATTAAGAAAACAAAACAGAAAAGAAACAGTTTTTCACAGACTATTTAGTATTTCTCATTCAATTAATTCAGTTCTCACTTCGCGACAAGGCAAAAATACATAAAAACTCAAAATATTTGTATAATTACGAAGTAAATCTTAAACACTTATTTCCTCGAAAAAATTCCAGAAAGGATTAGGCAGGATTTAATTCGCAATAATAAATGAAGGCGTTATTTTTGTTGTTGCGAACCTTAGTCTCTCCAGATTAACAACAAATCTACAATTCTGCTGTTTCAAATGTAAACAAATATGTCCGCCATGTTATTTCAAACTTAACCGCACTTAAACAGCTTTTAAATTGTTGATAATTGTACAATTATTGCTTCCAGAATTACGAAAGGCATAAAAACCTTAACCGGAAGATAAGAACAACATAATTCAATCATTTTTAAAGCAAAAAATGTACAATTTACAATTACTGTGCCGAGTAACAAAGTGGATATATATATA